AAATAATAATAATAATAAAAAAATCTGGCCTGTGTCACAATCAACCTGAAAAGATCCATGGCATTCTCTTTGCACCTGATGTTCTTATTCACACATTTAACACTTTGAAACTTAATAGAATAATATATGTTTACCTTTAAATATCTTTTGTATTAGTTGTGTTATTCATATAATAAAAGTGCTACTCCCTCTTTAGCACCTTTAGTTATTTACAGTGGCGAAACCAGCCGGTCATCGCGGGGAGGGCCCAATTTGCCGCGGCGTACTATCCCCACTCCGGCCATCTCGCGGCGCACCACTTCCACTCCGGCATCGGAATGACATTCAAAGGGCTTTTGTGGATGCTCTCAAAAATTTTCGCAGAGATATAAAAGAATAATCTAGAGATTTTTCTAAAAATCAAACTAAGTCCGAAATTAAACTGGTATACTTAAACTGAATTGTTTTAACTCAAAAAATACTCGAATTTATACTAATAAAAATCTCGGACTCAATTATAAAAATAATCAAGAATTATACCTCCTTTCGAATAGACGAAAAGCTAAAAAAATTGAGAAAACGAAGCCTCGAACGATCGAACTCGGCCTCGACAAGTTTGCTCCTTTTGATACTATTTAACGCAGAAATTCAAACTCCTATAATAAATGCTCAGAACTCCAAAAAAATGCGAAATTTATCCGTATGGAATCATGCTTGAATTGTCTACACGCTCCAACTCGATTCTCGTTAAACCGAGGTCACACGCAACCTTACGGAACCCTGCAAAACGGCTTTTTATTCTTCTATTATGCGCACTTGACTTCGAGCTTCTCAAAATAAATGCTCGAAACTTCGAAACGTGAAATAAATTTTACGAACGGTTTCTACTGGTTTCGTGCTTTCAAGAAAGCACTCCCGCTAATTTTCAGCACGCCTAACGAGGGCTGACGATTACCCGAAGCCTAGGCATGAAAATGGTAATAAAATTATCGCCACTGCCATTTCTCTTAACTTCGAGCTACCCAAAATAAATGGTCGGGACCTTAAAATCATAAATCGATGTCACCAACAAACTCTCTGCTTCCCGTACTTTCATAAAAGTATTTTTCGGTAATGATCGACTCGATTTTTGCGCAAGTCGGCTAATTAACCAACTCAAAATATAATAAAATAAAAAAATTATTAAATTCTGCTGTTGTTATAGTTCTCCTTGTCCCGAAACCGGTGGCGCCCCTCCGGCCATGTATGTACTGCATGAAACTGGGGAGGGCCCAACATGCGTGCTCAAAAAAAAATCTTCCAATTACAGCAAAATCCTCTACCCCTAGTTTAATTTTTTTTTTTTTTGGAGGGGCCAATGCCACTCCAACACTACACATAGTTTCGCCCCTGGTTATTTAGCATTAGTATAAATACTCATTCCCTTGTAAACCCTAGTTTAGTTTTTACACACTTTTCATTTTTTCTCCGCCTTTTCTCTTCTCTGTACACGACTGAGATTCTCTTTCTCTCTTAATGCAATCTTTCAATCTTTCTTCTCTATGTGCTCGATTGTTACTTGATAAAACTTCATTATATTTTGTTGTCCACAAATTCACATATCTATGTTGACGTTTGAATATGTTGCATTCACTCTTGATTAAGGTGGATTGGTGGTTCGAGAATTTTAATTATATTCGGTAAAACTAACTGATAAACTAGCTGATGGTTGGCTTATATCTCTTATGGCTTACGACTTATAGCTGAAAAATTAGATTATATGATCTAGTAAAAATTGAAGAATTCTGGTATATATGTTTAGTGACCAAATAAGCAAGCTTATAGCTTATTTGATTAGCTTATAAGCCTTTTATATTCAAATACGTTTGGTAGGACGAGTATTTTAGAAGTTCGAGCTTATCTGATAAATGTTCTTGTGTTTCAAACAAGTCCATTGAAATTTTTATTTTCAGCCAGATTATCAGTTAATTTTACCAAATATTTTTATCATATAAGCTAACTTTTCAGCCATAAGTTATGTGTTGTGTTTGGTGAGAATATAAGCTAGATTATAACTTATTTGATTTGCTTATAAGCTTCTGTAATCAAATTAGTTTGGTTTAGTAGGAGGAACTTTTTTAAAAAGTTCGAATTTATCTCATAAACTTCCTTAAGTAGCTTTTCAGGTAAGCCTACTAAAATTTTTTATTTCAGCTAGCTTATCAGCTAATTTGACCAAATAATTTTATCATATAAGCTAGCTTTTCAGCCATAAATTATAAGCTATCAACTATAAACTCAAAAAAGTTATTTGTTAGAATATTTCTTGTGAATTGTCCCACATTGATTTATAGGATAAATGGGCCTAGCATATATGTCTGGTGGGCTACTCCTCCATCATCAATTGGTTTTGGAATGTAACCTCACTATGGTGCACCTAGGTCCACCCTCTTATGGTGCGCTTCACCTGCATGGGACCGCACCTCTTGCCCCGATTCTATAATGTTACATGGTATCAGAGCTAGACCAACTCCGAATTGGGCTTTGGGCTTGGGCTTTCTCTCTACCATGCCTGCTCTGAGCTTGGGCTTTCTCTCTTCCATGCCGGCTCTGAGCTTGGGCTTATGAAGGACTTACAAGTGAGGGGGCGCGTTGGAGTATCACTTTTGAATTGTCCCACTTTGATTTTATAGGGAAAATGGGCCTATCACATATATCTAGTGGACTACTCCTCCCATCACCACTTGGTTTTGAGATAAACCTCACTACGGTGCACCTATATCCACCATCTTATGGTGTGTTTTACCTTCGTGGGACCGCACCTCTTGCCCCGATTCTATATATCTTAGATTATCTTATCAACTATAAGCTATATTATCAACCAAGTTTGCTAAACATAGCCATAAGCTATCAGCTATAAACTCGAATTTCACTCAAAAGATATAAGCTAGTTCATCAGCTAAGTGTACCAAATACAAATATTAGAAATTGGGTTTTCCAGCCCCATTATTTTCACAGTGTTTGGTGTATTTACACACACATATATATATATATATATATATATATATA